CATGACCCACCCACCCAATCTAAATTGGGAAAATACACTTTTATAATGAAAAAAAAACTTCCAGGTATGAACATATATCAATACAGTGCCGGTGTATATCTTTATTTCTGTATCTGCGAAGCACATTAATATATTAACGTTTATACCCATAGCCATTCAGCGACGAGCTTGTATAATTAAGCCAATCAGCGATTAGCTTGCATCAATTGTTTACATCGTGCTCGCACTTAACCTGCAAACGGGCATAGTTTGGCCTCGTGTAAGACGTGTGCGCTCGTGTTATTCTTTGCCATATTTTGGCTTCAAAAATATCTTGATTTTATCTTGAATTGGCTGTCTTGTTTTCACCATGCCATTCTACTTGTGATATTATTCCAAAGTTATCTATCAACATGGAAACTTATCCTCATCTGGTAAGTAGCCAAACACCACATTTTATTATATACATTTATACAGTATAAAAACAATCATTGTGTAATATTTTAAGCAGTCAAAACTCTGGCTGCGGGCATTATATTGCCAATTAACAATATCACAAGAAACTAATGTTCTCAGGAGATATGGAATTAAATCCTGGTCCTGTATTTCTGTAACTCTGTTCAAAACAACAGTCCAATTAAGTTGTCATCAAATGTAGTGTTAGAGCAAAGGTAAAGATGTCATCAGTTAAAATTATACTTTATATACATTTTGGTTTTACACAATAGAGTTAATTAATCACAATTGTTACAACCATTTTCAAATGCTAATAAAAGAATCCTACCCTCCCTCCTCATTACATTGTCATTTTGCTTTCTAATATAAATGTTTTTGTTTAGAGATTAATACAAGAATGATGAATGCATGTACTGACCTACGGGATATTGGCTGGATAAGTTTGTCAGAACAACCCACTTCCAAGACAATCTTAATTACCTAAATTCATCAGTATGGAAAATAACTTAACAGCTACAATAATCATATATTATATGGATGGATCAGATCAATGGCACACAATGTACAAAACTAAACTTGTGATACCTTCTACTCAAACAGATATTCTCCCACAACACAAATTGTTTTTGTGTGGATATGCTGAGTTAAACCGAACAGTGTGGTATATCATTAACTGTGCACAGGGTTGGAATGGAATTATATACTTCACTCATGACCTTCAAAACATTCTCTACTATTCAGTGCATGGTCTTCGATACATGATCGACTCTTTGCTACAGTAATGCATGTTCCTCGACTAGTGTGTATGTTACTCAACAGTTAACATTGGCAAGTGTAAACCAGGCCCGTAGCTGGGGGGGGGACCTGGGGGGGGCAATGCCCTCCACTTGTTGTTGTTGTTGTTGTTGTTGTTGTTGTTGTTGTTGTTGTTGTATATCCACATTTCTTAAAAAAGAGGGGATTTTTTTACAAAATCGCGTATTGGGCGCTCAAAACCAATCAGATGCTAGAATGAGAAATTGATCGAATGAATCGGGTGATAACATGGCGGCCAGTTTTTATATCGTATGAGTACTTCACTGCTTGTTTCTACACGATAACAGTTGGATTTTCATATGATTTTCTCAAATAACGTAAATATACTATGGAAATGATGTGCAAAATTCATAAACAAGATGAATTCAACAGTGATCAAAGAATTACAAGCGATGCGCTGTTACACAAGGCAAAGGGTTTGGAAGGATTTGACTATCACAGAAGCATGGTAGGTATGCGTGTATTTTTTTCTGATTTTTTCATATTTTTCTGCCTCCGGTCACAATAAATTGTAGTATACAACATTCCTTTGATATTCTAGTTTTAAAAAATGCATCTTCAGAACCTCCCAGGTATCTTCAGTGAGTATTATGCCAAAGCCGCTCGATTCTTTAAAGAGCAGGCTTTTCCGCTGATTGATTTTGTATGGAGATGGCCAGATATAAATGAGCATCGATCAGAACGAGTTTTTATGATGAAAAATATATCCAGAGTATTTGTCTTGAATGAATTGAAACAACTCAAGCGAAATCAAGCAACTGGAGTCGATGAACTTCCACCTGGAATGTTGAAGGACGTCAGGGAATATATAGCTGAGCCTCTATGTTATATCTTAAACCTTTCGGTGGAAACGTCTACAGTGCCTCTGAAGTGCAAAATAGCAAGATTAATACCAATACATAAATCTAGGTCCAGAGATCAACCTATAAACTTTCGTCCAATATCTGTTCTATCGGTGCTGTCCAAATTGCTAGAGAAAGCTGTACATTGGCAGTACAGGAATTTCTTGGAGGAAGGAAATCTTTTATCAGATCGTCAATTCGGTTTTAGAGCTGGGAGATCGACAAATCTTGCTGCTACCTTATTTGTCGATAATATTCGAAATGATGTTGACAAGGGAAGCCTTGTGGGGCTGCCCTTATAGACCTTAGCAAAGCTTTGGATACGATTAGTCACCACATAATTATTACTGACTAAACTGCAGGCGTGTGGAATTCAAGGTAAAGAACTGATGTGGTTCACAGATTACCTATTTTGCAGGCAACAATACGTTCAGTTAGGGGTTGATAAGTCATCAAATCATTACTTTGTGGAGTCCCTCAGGGCTCCATATTGGGGCCTTTGTTATTCACGGTCTTCTATAATGATTTGACAGACTTGAAAATAAACTGGCGAGTTTTACAATATGCTGATGATACCGTTGTGCATTGTCCTGGTAAAGACGTAGAAAGTATTGAAGCTATGCTGTCACAGGACATGGATTTGATAGCCAACTATTTCGATGGGAATGAATGAATTATCAATTTAAACAAGGGGAAAACTGAGGTGATGCTTTTCGGCACTGCCAAAAGGTTGTCTTTGCAATCTCGGGATATTGATGTGGGGTCAAGGGGGGTAATTGAAGACAACTACGTCCTGCAAGTATCTGGGATATGCCCTGGACCCTAACTGGACACTTTGTAAAAACTTTGCTTATAAGAAAACAAGCAATCGCCTACGGCTAATATCTAAATTGAGGGATTATGTAACCTCTGATGTTGCCAATTAGATATATCAAATGATGATTGTCCCTATTGTAACCTATACAGTGGGACAATAAAGCTATTGTACACAAGAACACAGCTACAGAAATTAGGCAGCAGTAAAAAGCGAGCTAAAGAAATTATTGGATCGGAAACAAACATACCGTCGACGTATCTGCATAAGTTAATGAAAATGAAAGCTTGTTTGATTGTAAAAAAATGTCTGGCAAACGACATATGTAGTAACTTCTGTGGATATTTTCAAGTTAATAACCATGATATAAGAATAGTGCTGGTATCCTAGTAAAGCTGCCAAAGGTAAAACTTGAACTGATTCAATATATAAGGCAAGCCTTTCGATTTGCGGGTACTAAAGTATATAACGAGCTCCAAAGGAACGTTGAAGACGTTAAATCCTTTAACCGTGCGTTGGTCAAACATTTTAGTCAAACATTTTAGTTAGTTTTAGATAGATGTGTAGTTTTTAATATAGAACTGGTGTTATGTAGGTTTAATTTGTATTATTCTAGGATTTTTAGATTGTTTTAGATTCTAGGAGTATAAAGAGGACGCATGTTGATAACAGTAGTATTACTGAAATGCTTATCCTCTGTAAATATTCTTAAATAAATAAATAAATAAATAAATCTTGAAGAAAATTGGCGTGGACATTTATACAATAAACATTTCCCATTAAAAAATCTAAAACAACAAAGATTAGACTAAACAAAAGTCCTTGGATGGTTTAACTTGGACTGTCAAAACAGAATTTCCATCAACAAATCGTCGTCCAATCGCCAAACCGGCTGCTTTCTTTTTTTATATAGATGTCAAACAATATTGTTTCAGTTTGTCATCAAAGAGTAACAGTGTGATGGTGGAGGTGCCATCTTGATATACTGAAGTTATTTTTATGTATAACGACGTTTCCCAAAACTTTTTGTTCACATTTCCAGGAGCATCAAATCTTCTGTTTAACCCATTAGCTGGCAGGCAATTGCTAGATATATAGTATACTTCAGAATAAGGGTCTATTTTTATATCAGTTTTTTAAATAAATTAGGGTTATATTAGGGTTAGTATTAGGGTTAGGGTTTAGTTTTGCGTTAGGATAGTTTGCGTTAGGATAGTTCGGGAAACTTCCAGCCACCCGAGGTGCGTCCAATCCCGGACTCACCGAACCTGCAAGTATGTTTGTTATAGAGTAAAATTAGCCCATTAAATCTTTTAAATTTATAAACAAACGTTTTGCAATAGCCAGCCTCTGAACTTTGATAAATAAAGCTGATTATTGAACGTTTGACGTCTGTCTGTCTCATTCCGCGCCGATTTCTCATATGAAACAATTATTTATGTTAAGTACATAAATACACAATTAATATGGTTCGGCTCACCACACACTTTCGCTTCGTTGGGTGCCGATGTTTTTGCTTAGACGTAACTCTCCAAGATGTTGTTGTTAAAATTCTGAAATCTAATACGATCCGATATGAAGTCTGCGCTCATGTCGAATATTTCACTCAATGTAGATACAATGAAAGAACAACAGTGATGTTATAATATTAACATTGAATGTTAAATAAGAGAGCAAAAGCCTTTATAATAAAGGCTCGCCTTTGAAACCCAGTAGCAGCTTCTGCTAAGCTTCGAATTTACAGCTTGTCTCGGCAAACATTTGTTCAGAAAGACCGTCATCGAACATCACACGCACGTGAGAGATTAAAGCAGTCGACAGAAGTGCATTATGGTAAACCGTCGACCATAATGCATCGCGCTTGGTTAAAATTCAGATTTCAACCACTATTTCAAAGTTTAGGTCTGCATGCTGCCTTGCTCGGTCGCTTCAGGCGACCTCGCTGCGGCAGCGAATATACGCATACTCTATAAATTATATAACTAATTTCCTACGCCATTTAGGATAATTGCTTTAAAAATAATTCATGAGTTTTTCATTTATTTCTCATATTGCTTGCGGCAATGTAGGTATAAATGCCCATTATATACTCACCTTGACAAAGTGTTCCATTTCCAGTATATCCACTATCACAAGTACACAGAAAAGAGCTATCAATGTTGGTGCAGTTTGAGTTTTGGTGACAGTTGTCAATAGATAAAGAACATTCATCGATGTCTGAAAATGCATGATAATCTTAGGCACGAAAAAAGTGACTGTACGTATAATAGTTTATGTGGTCGAAAAGCAGGGTTAAATTCCAATCAACACTTACCTGTGCAAATTACGCCATTTCCGGTATAACCTCGGTTACATCTACATGAAAAACTCCCAGCAGTGTTAATACATTGAGAATTATTGCCACAGTTGTCCAATTCATGGGAACATTCATCCACCTCTATAGAGCATAGGGTTAACAAATGCTTTAATAGCGAAACTATTGGATCTCATTTTTTCTCATTTTAGCATTTTATAGCCTCAAAATCCCAATTCCCAAATGAGACAAAAATTCTGGGAACCTAACTTTGTAATTCTCAATAATTCAGGCCATAAATTACCAAAAAACATGCATGCCTAACCCACGAAATTTTACTAAATCCGAGGAATTTTTTACCGATAATTTAAGGAATTCCAGAGAGCACTGCTGGGGTCTGTAGCACTGCCTTGCTCAGTTGCTCTTTCTGGTTTTTTCCCAAAATATAAAGAAAACTATATAGCTTTGCAAATACAACATTTTTTAGAAAGCAAGAAGGAATAGACCAAAGGAACAAAGCAATTTTATCTATAGTTCTACGTGTAAAAACAGTAAAATTAAATGGCTTGGCCTTCCTTCTTCGTCGAATTTGTTTTTGTCTCGAGAAGTTTTGGGCAAAAGCGTACAAAATAACCGAGAAAAACCTTGAAAAAAAATAGGAACATGCTAATAAACCGTTTCATTTCTTCTCATATTGCTTGCGCAGTGTAGGTATAAATGCACATTATATACTTACCTTGACAAAGTGTTCCATTTCCAGTATATCCACTATCGCAAGTACACAGAAAAGAGCCATCAATGTTGGTGCAGTTTGAGTTTTGGTGACAGTTGTCAATAGATAAAGAACATTCATCGATGTCTAAAAATACATGATAATCTTAGGCAGGAAAAGCGAAACTATTGGATCTCATTTTTTATCATTTTAGCATTTTATAGCCTTTCTTCGACCGCGCAGGCGAAGACATTTGATTGTAGCTCACTTTCTTTTACTGTATGGCGTGCACATAAGGGCTAAAGTGAACTCAAGCTGTCAAGCTACAGCGCATGTTCAAAAATGTTTGCTCAAACCGTGCGGGAAGAACGACCGTAATGGAAAGAGCCTTTAATTAATATTACGTCTTACACGCTTGTTTGACGTCCATAATATATCCCACTTTTTAAAGATTGAGCAATATGATTGAATATTTGTACTCTGAAAACTACTGCTCTTTCACATCGGTAAAATATCTGTCCGAAAGTTAAAACGCGCGTTTCAAACGTTTCAACGATTAAACAATGGAGAGGAATATCTGACATTTGGTGCATGACAACAGGGTGGACTTTCGTCCACGCATGCGCGAGAAACGTAAGCGTGGAGTGCATGTGAGCGCGGATTAATCGCGTGACTGAATTCTAAAAACAAACACCAAATGTGCCAAAAACTACTCGTGTTATGAAGTCTTTTTCTTGTTTCTTTAGTGTTTCTACGCTCACAATTTTAGGCATTTCCAACTTAGAAGTGCTTGCTTTGGAATAAGAACGTGAAAGTAGAAATAAAAACTTTGTTGCAGCCGTTTAATTTCGCAGTACAAATATACCTGTTTTATATATGTATATCTTTTTCGAAGTGAGATATACAAGTGCAAATTTACCTTCTTAAAATTCGTACTTGCCCTATTTTTGACTCGATACAAACTACTTTTATCCATGAAGAAACTATTTGACTTTAAAAATAAGCTTGAATTTTTTTGGTGATATAGACTAATTTATTTGCAAACAGTGATTCAGTACTCGGTAGTGTACTTAATTGTTGTATATGAACACAAGTCTAAAATGAATTCAACATCCGTCAACAAAAAGGAGTCGCGCTTATTACTATTCTGTAGAAGATAGACAATTAATTTAATTCACTAGGAACCCGTTCTACAATGTAAATTAGAAATCGGCAAACAAATTGTCACGAAATACTACAATGAAAATAGGGTCTCGGTCAAGTTGCTCTGCAAAGATCGCCCTTTTGCCCAATTTCCATCAAGTAGATCATCGTGTTATCAAGTCAAGGATTATGTATACTTTAAAATAAAAGAGTAAAAAAACTGGTGGTAAAGGGTAGATTTTGAATAAAATACGAATATCTGTATACAAGATCTGAGCGTCATTATGAAGCACTCGATACTTTCTCCAACAACATATTGCGCTTAATTTTTTACAAAATTAAAAATATTCACACATTAAAAATATGAAAATGTAACTTGCATTACAAAAAAATGTTGGCTTACCTAAGTTATACCTTTAATACACGTCGATTAAAGCCAAGTAAAGCCCTTATACAAAGACGCGTGCCGCATTAAACTACTCGACGAAGTATATTCAGGATATTTAATAGCCAGTTTAAACGCCGATGTGTACTATTCCTGTGAATCATGATGCCCAACACACCGGGTAACAAAATTTACCACTTTGTTCGGCTGTTCCAAGTACACTTTTAAGATACAAGGCTCGACCATATCACGTTCTTCGAAGCATCTGCTCAAAACAGTTCAACATCAATATCGCCACTCATTTTCTTCGTATGAAAATATAGGTTTTCCTTTTAATTGCTTTGCTTTAAAAACAGTCATTAGGTTGTTGAAGAGTTAGGCTAGAACTTCCAACAAAAAAAAACCAGGTTAGGCTAGAACTTCCAACAAAAAAACCCAGATGCTTTCAAAAACTAGTGAATCACACTGTAAACTTCAACATCCTTAGAAATTGTAAGCCAAACATCGAAAAGCAAAATTTGCGGGGAAAAGCTCACGAGCCCGCGCTATTTTTATGCAGCGTCGACGAAAGTCCACCCTGTTGCGCATGACAGGAATGAAAACCTGCGGGAGACATGTATTACATATTTTGTCGGCCAGTGCCAAAGCTAGCCATGGCAACCGGTAATGCTATGCTAATAAACCTGCATCTAAATATTAGGTTAAAGACAAGATATTTGTAAAAGTTTAAATAATGCAAATCATTAATCAAAGGCCGTTGAGGCCGATTCACGGATACGATCAAATGAAAGTGACAGAAAGAATTAGAGCAGTTTGCAGTTGTTTTTGCAAACTGGGCACCATGAGAATTTTGCCATTTAACCTATTCGCCGTGCTTCGTTTGCTAAATCAAAATAACGAACGCGTGTTCCAGTCCGATTTCCGGTTTTGAAAGACAAGATTCGCAGCCAAACAGTGCGCGCAAAGCAGGCAAACAGTGCGTGCAGGATGGTAATTTCCCATTGTTTAACTGTCCCACATTTAATTATACCTGGTAAGCATTCAACTCCAGCGTCCTCACCATGATCACAATTATGAGCTCCCCATCCACTATGGGAACAATTGGTCAAACTTTGTTCACTGCCAGTGCAACCGACATCATCTAACCATATCTGTCCAGTACCATGAGGAACATCGCCCCCTTTAAGTGCTTTAACAGCATTTGTATAACCAAGTTGACGACATGCAACCCTGGCATCATTTATATCCCAACTATCATCACAGATTGTTCCCCATTTCCCATTGTGTAATACTTCAACACGACCAAAACCATTGTATCCTTGTATCCTGAGAGTTATTGCTGTGAAAATTTGATACAAATACAAATTAAAATGAAGCACAGGTGCAGACGATGATGGGATTTCATTGTGGTTGAGTTTCAAGTATGGTACATAGAGAATAATACATGGGTGTGCGGAAATACGAGATTTATTTCGAGTGTTGAACATGATATCTCACGAGTGAGCGCTGCGAACGAGTGAGATATTATGTTCAACACGAGAAATAAATCCGGTATTTCCAAGCACCCATGTATTTTTCTGTTTATTATATAAACAAAATTCAGTAAAAAAACAATAAAACGTCCGTGGCATGGCAATGCGTTTTACAACAAATGATATTTTCACACGCAAAAATATCGTATTTTTTACGTGTGTTTAAATATGATTTTTCTCAGTGGCCAAAAAACTCTATATATTACAGTAATGCATGCATGCATGTTGGGTTAGTGACAATAGGTACACTATATTGATCTAGAAATAAAACCAGATTGAGTAACTGTTGTCTGAAAATGAAGCCGAAAATCCACCGTTCACTATGAGGCCATCTAATTATTTTTTAACGACATATGGCAGATGTTTCTTTCCTAGGATGCTTTATTTTACAAAATAATTGTTTTTGCTATTTTTAAGAAGATCATTTTTAGTATGTTAGAAACACGCGCTCGTTCGGAGAAAGGCAAATCCGCAAATATAGTGATACATACAAGCTTCAAATGGTTGCCACTACAGCCTGTTTCACCCAAAAGGAAGTCGGGCAGATAGAAGGAAAAAACTTACGTTATCGTGTGACAATTTCCTTTTGCCTTCATACTAGGTGATCTCGTGTTCGTATTTTAGCCAATCAGCGCTCAGAAAGGGTTGTCCGAATAGAAATCCATTTTGATGTATTCAGTCAATTATATCTTTCGTTATTCTTTATGAAACTAGTTGAAATTTTGTAATTATGTTTTGTTATGAGAACTATAGCTCTGACAAAAATATGGAATCGAAATAAAGTATATTACAGGAGATATTCAGTTGTTTTAATCATAAAATGGATTTCTATTTGACAACTAGTGCCAGTACTTTTCCGCGTATCAAGATCACCTGGTAGTGTGCTCTGAAGGCTAGTTAGTACGTGTCTGTATGTTGGCCGCGTTGAAATTTCTTGTGGGCTCCTGCCGACACGTTTTTCTTCGACTGTTGTATTAAACTCTATTACCGTAAGTTAAAAAATGTGAAATTTCAAATTCATTTCTAACACAAATGACTTACATCATTTGAAAGCTTGGAACAAACTACATATAAGACATTTAAACGGTTACCCGGGTTTTTCAAGTTCTTGAGTTACGAGCTGTTGAATACGTGTTTTCAGACTCACCAGGAATTTTGCGAGATTTTGGCTAATTTTCCAACTAACCATTTAAATGTTTCATATGTAGTTTTTGTTCGCTTTCTATTGATGCAAGTCATTTGTATTAGAAATGTATCAGAAGTTTCACATTTTTTAACTGTAATAGAGTTTAATATAACGGCAAAATTCGAAGAAAAACGTGTCGGCATGCAGGAGCCCACAAGAAATTTTAACGCGGCCAACATACAGAAACGTACTTATTAGCCTTCAGGGCACAATACGAAGGCAAAATGGAATTGTCCCACGATATGGTAAGTTTTCCATAATTTTGGTCCTCTATCTGCCTGACTATAATGGCACCCTTTTTCGACTTCAGGTAGCTAGTGAATACATGCAAGTCTATACATATCTTTGCCAATATAAACAATAGATATCACTAGCCGCTTTTCCTGCTGAGAAATCATGTTTTCAAAATAATCTGAAAAGACCGAATGTAAATGTTTTCTTGACAGCGGTAAGTGAGCCGAAAATTTCAGCGAATATTCTCCAGCGAAAGGAAGTATAGGCTAATTATGCATGATTTGTTTTGCGATATGGAAATGGCATTAAATTGATGCAACGTTGCCAGATTGTTAATTCCTGTTTTAACTTGTTCTATGAAAAGAAAACATTAGACTCATACAACATTTGATTCAGTTTCATGCTCAATTTTGCGAGTTTAACTATTCTGCGGGTTGCGGGCTGCGGGCCGAAACTGCGGGCTGCGGGCTAAAAATTGCGGGCTGCGGGCCAAAAATTGCGGGCTGCGGGTCAAAAATTGCGGGCTGCGGGCCAAAAATTGCGGGCAGAAAAATGCGGGCTGCGGGCAGAAAAATGCGGGCTGCGGGCAGAAAATGCTAACACGATTGCAAGCCGCGGGTCTAGTTGCGGGCCTGACGAATTTTTTAAAAAAATTGTCAAAATGTAAAGAAAATAACAATATTATTTAAAATTTTCTGTCTTTGAAGTATATTCTATGTCTAATGTTATTCGTAATCATATGCATACGAATTTTTCCTTAAATGCATTCTTTTTGTAATATCATGGAATCTCAGTTTATGAGTCGTACCAGACATTAAAACCTGTTTCGACCGGGATAACTGTACACCAATCCTAATAGTAGCACTATTTTCTATCCAGCAAACTGACCTGACGTCATTTTCGGAAGAGAGAAAAGGTGTTAAACCTGTTTTCCACTTCAAACGTATCGTAGCATTTTCTTTTGTGTTGAAATCATTAGTTCCACTCTAGCGCTCAGGAAACAAAGAAATACGCTACGTTTCGGTACACGGCAAAAAACGCCGAGCCCGCTGCTCAACAGGATTGAACAATGTTTTGCTGCCCACATTGTTCACACTTGTCAACAATATTGAACACTATTGTTGAGCCTGAATATTGTTCAGTATTGTTGACAGCTATGAACAATGTGGGCAGCAAAACATTGTTCAATCCTGTTTTCATCAGTATTGCATCAACCTGAGCGTTTTTACGCGTGTACGATACGGTTGAAGTGGAAAGCGGCCTTTAAATGGCTATGTAACTAACACAAACCCTACACCTAGTCCCTACTCTAACCCCTAACCCCAACCCTAACTCTAACCCTAATCGAATTAATAAAAAATGCAAAAAAGCGACTTTAGAAAATCGATAGGGCGGTTTGCTGGATGGAAAAAAGTGCTAACCGCCAAAATCATTGGAAAATCATAGGAAAAACCAAGAAATTGGGCTTTTGTATGACCCTTTCTGTGCCCTGGTTATAATGCGCTACCGCTTATAACTTTTGGTACAACTGGCCTGAAACTTAAAATATTGATTCAATAAGTTTAATATCAATATATTTATTGAAAAATAGCTATTATGTCAAAATAAGAAAACTTAAGATTCTCACGCGAATAGGCAATGTTTTTATGAGTGACTGTTCGTCGTTAGTTGCAAACGACGGTAATATAAACAAGGTCAAGGTTTTATCGAAAGCGATTGACTGTTAGATTTCCTTTTATTCTATTTTATAACTAAATAATGTTATTTCCTACAAATTTAGCTTTATTGTAGCTTTATCAAAAGTATAAAAAAAACATGGAAACGGCGAATTACTATAGATTGAAAATAATTATTAAACTATGATTGAAATTATCGACGTAGAATACTATTTCGTTGTATTAAATTTCAATAGTATAATGAGAATTTTGTTTGATATTTTAATATATTTCATGTTATTTACAAAATGTACTGTAGTTTTGAAGTTTTGCACACAATATATTATATATTGAGCATATATAAAATATTGAGTTTTTGATAGCGTAGCCAGGCTTCACGATATAAATATTAAAAACGACTGATAAATAATCATCCATTTTATGATTAATATATTATTGCGAGCACAACTGCTCCAGAATCACAACAAATAACAGAATATAAGGAAAATAAAAACCAGCAAAGCTTTACCTACCTTGATCTATTTTTCTAAGGCGCTCAATTATGTATATTTTCCGCGAACACTCAAACATTTTTCTTTCCCTTTCCTCGAGCATGAGTGATGAATTGCTTGTCGGAAAAACTCGGTATTTGTCGTATTTTACGAATTTCCACGTGACCGGTACGCTCACCGCGACACGAAATTTAGAGCTATATGAAGGTTGCATGCCATATATGGCATGCAACAAAAAAATAGTTAGGCCAGCAATTTGGCCCGCGGCCCGCAATTGTTTTAACCCGCAGCCCGCAAAAACTGACCCGCAGCCCGCAAAAACTGACCCGCAGCCCGCGGCCCGCAAAATAGCTAGACCCGTCTTTGATTGATGAAAAATGAAATGGCCAAGACAATGACTGTAATAATTTATCATACAAGTCGGTAAACAGATTATATTGCTGATTTGTTACCAAAACGACATAAAAAAGAGCAAACTGAACAAGTAGGTACCTGTAATAGATGGATGTGGTCAAAAGAGCATTTGAGTATTTCTCTATTATTTAATTTAAACCTAATTTAATAAAAATTTAATTTAATTTAATAAATGCATGCATTTTCAATCGAAAGTTTCTTGCTGGTGGAAAACCATATTAACCCTATAGTATTAACTCCCATTATTAAAGGTGAAAGACTCTTCCCTTGACGAGTAAAATCGCCTGGCGTTAGAAAAAGTATAAAAGTAATAAAATGGGGTGCGTTTGGGCATTAGAAAGTAAAAGTCCATGTCGGTAAAGTAAAATAAATTGAGTTCACTGTTCAGGTGTGGCCACCTTTTGCGACGGCAATGCAATACTCTTTTGAACCGTTACATAGCTCGGGTATCCGAAAAACGGCCACTGTGAATTTTGAGTGTAAGTGAATTTAGGAGTTATCTAGGAAATTTAGGATGCTTTGTTTCCCTGTTGAATCCTCGCCTGCTTTTTGTGATATTTTTAAAATTTGTAAAGGAACGTTTGATTTGACTATACACAATCAACTTTTTATTGAATTGATGATGTTCCTATCTTTCTCAATTGTTTCAAATGAGTGGCAACTCTCGCTTACATTTAACCACCAACTCTCATCGACTCACATGCATGGTCACATCAACTCAGCTTTGAGCTGGTCCAATCTTTGAAGAGAGTTTTTGCTAGTAGACGGACTATATCCAATAACTCTGTCTCTAATCAACTCTCGTGCAACTGTTATTCTCTCGACTTTGACCCAGTCACGAGAGAAACGTCCGTCCTATGCAAACTCTCGCTTCTCAAGTCTCATCCTCGTTTGACTGAGGCTTTAGTATACACTTACATACACTAACTATTCTATTTTGCCTTGCCTTCAACTTCTTTGCCAGGTAGCCTGAATTTATTAGCTTATTCAATTTTAACAGAAATCGAATGAAGCTGAAATCAAGTCAAGCTTTTTACCTCATCGTAAACAACAAAAGTTTTGCTAGTTTGTCAACAACAATGTTAGAACTTTATCGCGAAGAAAAGGATGAAGATGGATTCTTGTACATGGTCTACGCTTCACAAGAAATGTTTGGCTGAAGTTTCATCGTCACCATTCAAATATTTATTAATTGGGCCATAATTATTGGTTATGTCGACACTGGTGTCGCCATCTTGGGTTAGGGCCATAACGGTTAGGTATCCCACACCACACAAAAGATAATTGTCATGTACACCATAAATACTTTTAGTTTAAAATAGTAGGAAACTTAGTTCAATTTGTATTTTGGTATCAGGATATGTGGTTTCGATATTTAAGGTCAACTTTACAAAAACAAATGTTTTTATGCTACTAAATCTAATGAAAGTAAATTTTTGCAGTCGTGAAGGGCATTTAACCGAATTTCACATTTTTATGATTGTATTTTAAGAATATTCAAAATAACTGAAATACACCAAAATACACCAAGTATTTTGGGAACTCGCTTTCTTGCAGATGTGAAAATCTCGTCTTGGTTTGACATGCAAATATCTATGCATACTTGTGACATTGCATATGGGAATTAAGAATTACAGTGCAAATTTTATTAACTATGTAGGCTTTCTGATTGACGTAAAATATGAAACAATAATAACAATAACAGAAATAATACAAAAAAAAACACAAACATTTAGGAGTGACTGCATAATATTTTCGTGTATATTATTAAAAGTAATAGTATGGTTTCTTGTGCAATTTGAAAAAACATACACTCGTGACTTTTTCAAAGTCTTTGAAAAACTCACTCGTGCATGTTCAAATTGCCCACGAAACCATACTATTACCTATACAAATAGTGTTATTTCTAGGTCTAACCAAGAAAATAAAAGACTGTTTATAGTTATGTCATCAGTAACAAGATATACGTCTCTAAAACCAAGGTCTCAATCACTGACTTAAACGAGACTCTATAGCCATGGTTATGTACTTTCCGGAACGGTGTATTTCAAGAACTTTTCCCAGAAATTAAGCATCTGTTACAGTCATGGCAATGGTGGAGTGTTTCTAAAATCATTTGCTCACACGAACCTGCTGAGTTATTTGAAAATTGCCTACGTAATTGATAACCTAATTCTTGTTGTAAAATTTGCACCAATCACCTTTGGTTTTGGTGCAAGAAGTGTTGTTTCGTGGAAACGATCGAAAACACGAAGTTCAGATAATAGACCTTTCTTATGACGTCAAACGTAAAAAAACACTTAGTGCGATGTCCCAAGGGACAAATTTTAGCGACAATTCGCAATGCAAATACCCTGGTTACCCTGGTTGCCAGGGTAATTGCAAACGAATTGGTGAAATATTTTAGGAACACTTTCGTTGCCATGACTGTGATTGATGCAAGTTCAACAAATTCAAAACCTTTATGAGCAAAAATTGAAAATCTGCGTTCTAAAGTAAAAACATTTGTTTTCATAAATGGCCTTAAAATAGATTTAAAGTTTGCAGTATTGCTACATGCTGGACATGGGTGGATAGTGCCGTGTACTCTCTCGTTGATGCAAATACGAAGGACCGTACATGGCCGAATATTGTTGCAGGAAACAGGGAAGAACAATAAACAGTATTAGAGTAACATTCGTAATTTATTATCGTTATTAACTTAAAAAATAGAAAGTAGAGATATGCACAAAAGTTTATAAAAAGTATACTTATGTCTTAAACTTTGACTTAAAAATAGATTCAGTTTTTTTAAGGGAGTTTTCTTGTGTAGTACGTTTATTATTTTTGTGCTTCATATTGTCTGCAGTTGCCTTCGGACAGTTCAAGTATATCCATCTTGTTTTGACTGCAGGTTTCCGCACCTTGAAGGTTAGTACCTACAAAGTAATGAAAGTCCACAGCCCAGGGGGGTGCCTACCTACCTAGTGGCGTCTGCCACCCTCCTAGAGAAGTCCAGCACCACCTTAAAAACTGCTTGACTATACATTTTCTGCTTTTCGGGTGGCGAGTAGCAGATTAAATTCTACTGTTAGCGCGGGTCGATTTCTTGAAACGATTTAATTGATTTGTGAGCTCACGAGAAAATACTCAGAATGAACACTTTAGTTCAACCATATTTTCAAATATACTGTATTTTAACAAGCAAATTTACTATACTGTGTTACAGCAACTGTCCAGTGGCGCACACGTGATAAAAAGCCGATATAAAGATAATGTAACAGAACGGCAAACATGCAGATTCGACTATCTCAAATAGTGGTATAAATGTTTGGATAGTAGCATTGCAGACTGCAGATGAGGGAAAAGCTCCATCTGCACCACCTCATACCTGCACACTCGACTGGCGTTGGCAGGTTTGGTCAATTTTGGGCTAGCATTTGGCAGTGAGCTCCATAGTCAGGCAGATAGAGGATCAAAGTTATGGAAAACTTACCATATCGTGGGACAATTCCATTTTGCCTTCATATTGTGCCCTGAAGGCTAGTAAGTACGTTTCTGAATGTTGGCCGCGTTAAAATTGCTTGTGGGCTTCTGCCAACACGTTTTTCTTCGAATTTTGTATTAAACTCTATTACAGTTAAAAAATGTGAAATTTCTGATACATTTCTAATACAAATGACTTGCATCAATAGAAAGCTAACAAAAAACTACATATAAGACATTTAAATGGTTAGTTGGGATTTCTACATGTAACTCTAGTGATGCTCTTCACTTCAGTATTGTGTCCACAGGCTTGCAAGATTTTGCATTTTTGAGCAGGCACATTTGCTTAAAAGAACACGGGGTGAACAGTGGATAACATCACAGGGATTCTACCGCCTTTGGAGCCTCTGACATACGATAGCCAGTGGTGTTCCCTGGCAAAATTGTTGCCCCCCCTGAGAAAATCTGGGCTTAAGATAATTATGTACAAGTTTATAAGTTATTTATACATATCTAATATGCATGGTAGAAAAAGTATTTTTGGATGGTTGAGTTTGTGTGCGTTTTTTGATAACATAGCTCCAAACTATTAAAGCTTCAAAGGCCCATTCAAATTCTTGCACAGACTGAATCTTCCCCCCCCCCCTCAAAAGTCAAACGGTCCGCCCCTAAACCCGGGTAACCGTTTAAATGTCTTATATGTAGTTTATTGCAAGCTTTCAAATGATGTAAGTCATTTGTGTTAGAAAGGTATTTGAAATTTCACATTTTTTAACTGTAATGGAATTTAATACAACATTCGAAGAAAAACGTGTCGGCAGGAGCCCACAAGAAATTTCAACGCGGTCAACATACAGAAACGTACTTACTAGCCTTCAGGGCACAATATGAAGGCAAAATGGAATTGTCCCACGATATGGTAAGTTTTTTCCTTCTATCTGCCCGACTACCATGTATACTGGACCGAGAACTCTGGTCCAAAACGTGAAGCCAAAGATGCATGGCGGAAATGAAGCTGCCGGGAATTAATGTGCCGAAATGTCGTATTTTGATTTTATCACAGTGATTTTATGAACTGACAACTTGGTTAACGTTACGGTCCGTTAGAAAAAAACTGGAATTAACTGGGGAAACATGGTATTAAAACTATTTTCGACCTTCATGATCATAGTTGTTGGACGTAAATTCCGTCTTCTTCGCTTCACTTTTCTCATAGGCCAAATGACTGAAGTTCTTGCTCCAGATATATAGAGCCCACTGGCATTTGGTAAGTATGACATTACACGTGAAACGAATCGTATCGTAAAAATTTATTTCATGACGCTAGCCTCATCAACATAAGTTGGTTTTCATGAGGGGCATCGTCAATTTATATACAAAGTATTAATATTTACAAGAGAATAAATAGAAACAAAGAAAAAACTATTTACAAAAGTGTATGCTGGATACAGGAGGTGTGACCCATATATTATATTAACATTGGTAACAGAGTCAGAGATTAATATTTTGTTTGAAAATATGAACTGATTGGCCTTCTTTTGCTTCCCGAGAAAGGCTATTCCAAAGCTTTGCCCCGATGTATTTAAAACTGACTTTTTTTTTAGGAATTCCCTTCTCGGTTTTGGGAGAGCTAGGCCATACTTACCAAATGCAAACTCGAAATTGACCAAAGCTTGCCTCGTACCCAGGCGCTTTGGTTTGTTCACGTCATCATGCGCACGCGGGACGGCACGCGAGGGAAGCCACGAAATCCAGATCGATCGAATTAATCCACGCGGCCGCACGCAAAGGTCGCGCAGCAACGACGACGCGTTCGCCGGCGGCAACGTATCGCCTGGGTACGAGGCAGCTAGGTGAAAATAATCTAATCTCGTCTCAAATCGTATAACAGCAATATAAACACAGCTTATGTCTGTCAAAACTAGCGAAATTCATTCACGGTGATTTATTATTTTCTTCTATCTGTCAACATTTGTACATCATGAATTTCAATTTCGTTTGTTGTTTTTTTTCCTTCCCAAAAACTATATATGGCGATGAAACAATGAAACTAACCACCGCCAATCCCGGCCCTGCTTTTCAATTTCGTTTGTTTTTGCTAAATTTTGCAAAAGAAAGCAATGTATCGGTGAAAAAATGAACCATATAGTTCTGTGTCGAAATTACGTTGCAAGTTGCCTCGTAAGTTGCAAATTGCCTCGTATAGCACAGTCTTAAATTCGCATCTCTATTCGAAAGCAAAAGCACAATATATTAAATTAGTCTCTCAAAGATGTTTGTTCACGCCAATCATTCACTTTGATATTACAGTTCAACATCTGCTCAAAAGTACAAATATATTTTTGAGTGAAAATTTCCCGAAACAATAGATTGTTACAGTCTTGGAACGTTCTTAAAAATAATTGCTACAATCGTTTGACAATGGAACGAATTTGCGAAGCTACGATATTATAAAAGAAAAATAATTCACACGGTCGCGTAAATTAAAATGTTCCATGACCTAATCTTTTTCATCTCGCCAGGCCGTGATAACGAAAATTACTCATTTATCTATATTGATCTAAAGACTAAAAGCTAGTTCTATGTTCTAATCTTTCGCAAGGAAACACATTTTCGGTTCTGCCATTTTGCTGCATATATCTGATTAGAAATATATCTGGTTTCATGTTCCAACTACAGCCTACTGTATGCTGTTGAAATACGTATCATGACATTTGTAATTATTTCTATAGAGCCATACAGATTTGTATAAAAAGCTTTCGGCTCCCTCCCCTTCCGTTTCGACTACTTTTCAATCGGAATGCGTGTTTGTATTTGAAATAGAAATTACAAATACACTATCTAAGTTTGCCACTGTAACATTCTCAAGTGTGTTAAAATTGCATATCTTTTGAAAATCCAAAAGCCCTTTTTTGACATCTGCCATGACCCTATCAACCGTCGCACTTAATTAATTATTTCGAAAGCTTGAAACGCATTAGTCAGTCAAGCACATTATAAGCAGTGTTTATGCTAGAGAGGCTTGACATGTCAGGCACTTGACATTTAGCGAATAGCAGACCTCGGTCAGAAAGTGGGAGCTTTGGATTAAGGCCTCTGCCCTGACGAAAGAAATCATGAACAGGGTTACTGTTATTCTATTTCATGGAGTACTTTTAATGTTTGTTCATGAACTTGTGTTAGCAAATGCCTCGCAGCAAGTCGACGAAGGAAATTACATTGTGCCACGGACGACTCTGGAGTTATCATCTAACAAGAACAAGTCTGCCGGTAAGTAAGCTGTTGTTTCGCCCCTACTATGACTATGTGCTCCCTAAATCACTGTTGTTTCGTCTAAATCGCTGATTCGCCTTTTGGAAAGGCACCATAGCATTAATACGACTTTGTCGTAACCTTTGAGGCCACATTATTAGTCTACAATAGATTGGATTATTAGCTATCGTGATTCATATGGTATGTGTCAGGAAACATACACCGCGTGTTGCTATCCGGTTGTTGCATTAGTTGTTTTTACAGTATTTATTAGCTTCGTTGCTTTTCCACATTGAAGCTAAACACACTCGTTATATTTACCCGAGAACTTGAGCTACAAATTATGATTTATTATACATCGTTAAGTCTTTAAATATTCTGTTCATGTTTGGTTGCCAGTAAATGTTTGGCAGAGCATTCTCTTGTTGAATGTAACTATTTTACTACTTATTTCGCCTTATTAAAGTGGCAGTAGTGTGCTTTAACCGTGTTTTTGGAAGAGCGTGTTGCCTTGTTGACATTACGCATCATGGGTATAACCGTTTGGCGTGTTGGTGCTAATTGTTTTTCTTTATCGGTCGAAAATGTTCATCTAGAGTGCTAGGAATTCAGAATGCGTATAGGATATCTGATATGTAACCGTGTTTTGCGATTTTTAATTGAGGGTGCAGAAAGCGAGCTTTTTGATGAGTTTCGCAGAGCCAGAGTCAGTTCAATTAGTCTGTGAGCATTCAATAAGGTACAAGATCGCGGAGTCGAAGCATACGGTTTGTTTAAACATAAACTAAGCCCATTGTCATGCTTTGACACGTTCAAACGTGATATACAACCTTTTTACCGATAATTTTTTGGTTATGTATATCCATTTAGTGTCTCTAAAGACTAATGTAGCTTCACGATACAATTTAATAGGCGAGTGTATAGATCCGCCGTCAATAATGTACATTTAAATTGAACGAATTCGCCACACACTGTTCGCGTTAATTTGCAAAATATTTCGCACGAGCGCGCTAAGCGCACGAACTGTGAAAACAAACGCGATTTTCGCAAATTTTGGGGTTAGAAAGGGCAGTTCTTCGCCAGTAGCCATATTTCGTGTGAAAAATTCGCAAACAGACAACATGTGTGTTTCTTTTGGGGGCGAACGAGTCAGCTGTCGATTGATATTTACATAATAATATCGACCTCAAAGCGTCCGACTCTGCGGTGTCTTTTGTGCTTGCGATAAAAGGACTTTTATATATGTAAATAAAGCCATTATCAGTTGCTTTGGGAAACTTACGACAAAACAACAACGTTTAAATTGTTCGAACCGAGTTGTGAACAATGCCTGTGTAAATAGCAATAGATCTTTTATCCATTCCCATAAAGATACGCTATCTGGCTAGCATTACGGGGCGGAATATATCATCTTATACACTTTTTTCCCATTGAAAAACCGAATATTGCTCACCTTTAGCGGCGGCGTGTCGCACGATAGGCCACTTAGGCTTTTAATATCTGTGTATATAAAACAGCAAGTGTGCTCTTCAACTTTTCCTAAACAGGACAAAACCTCTCGGGGTTGGTCTACTGGAATCTTCAGGACTCTCTGTGCAGGATTTGCCGCAAAAATGTCGCTATTCACATAATTCTGAGATTAGGACAGAGCCGTCTGGGAAACTGCAGAACATTTTTCGTGAATATGTATACGTAAATTTGTTTGTCGTTGATATGGGGTTTATTTTTGCTTTTAACGTTTGCCGGCCGAACAGGAAAAAGCACTCGTGATTTGCCCTTGAGTACTTTAAGATATCTGCTTGAAATTTACCGACACGTGTTAAAATAAAGATTTGAATTACAAGCTAGGAAACTGTATGTTCATATTTCAGTATGTGAGCATACGAAATTCCTTAATATATTTAAACTTGTGAACTGAACAAGCTTTTTGAATTCCGTGAACCGCAAAAACTGTACACATACGGTACAGTCCAACTTTTGGTTTGTATAAGAAATTCACACGTTTGCCGTGGCAGTAGTCTATGGCATTGTTCTTAGTCTTCTAACCCTGCTTGGTAACTGATTTGAATTAGAAGGAGAATGTAGCAGATTTTCAGGCCATAGTTGATACTTCAAATGTGAAGAGCACAAGCCATGTATATTTAAGCGCATGCGCGAGATATTTTCGCATACATTCCCTCAAACATGATGCTTGCAAATGCTTAGACGTGATGAAATAGTGTTTCAATTCTGTGAACGTCCTGGACATAATTTAGTTGTAACTTATTTGAGTATAATTTATATTATCATGAACACTTGAATTAAAATATTGCAAATCCTGGTCTTAAATAGTTAAGACCAAAACGTCCAAACAGCTTTAATGGGTCGTCAAAATAATGTGAAGTACTGTAAATTTAACCCTTGGAGTAAGGCGCAAATAATAGTAAATGTTTACTATTTTGTCGAAAAACACCAGTCGCTATAGACACGAGCTAATATTGTAGTGTTGAAAATTGTCGGTAACATGTAATCTATGTCATATCTGTCATGTGAACACTTGGCCATGAACCGTTCCATCAAAAAAGACAACATAACACACAAGGTCAAGGACAAGCTACATATTACAAACAAACTGTATATGGTGTGGTCGATAAGAAATAAGTATGTTCATGAGTATGTTCATGAAAATACAACAAGTTGTGCGGCAAATTTTGACCGGTCATGTAGTCAACATTGTATTAAGCCTCTTTTCTGCACGAGAGGTTAAAAAACAGCATTATAGAGTTAATAGAGTTTTAAACTTTAACGGTATATGCCTATTGACTATTTCGACATGTTGGTCCAACATCATTAAAACATTGTTGGGTGCCTTGTTGGGTATATGCTTGGGTAGTGTATACTAGTGTTGGTTGATGTTCGATTAAGTTTGACCCGACATTGTAAGACCAGAATATTTAAATAAAGGGCTTCAAACGAGGCCAAGATGTCCGCCCAACATCATGATCAAGTTGTTGGATCATGTTGTTTTGGGTTTGATTTTGTTTAAAAGTTTCATGGCAGTTGACGATTACTATATACGCGTGATCGATGTCCATGAGCATGCACGCTCCCCAAAAATGCAACATTGTCAAACATCGTTCGTTTGAACGTGCTTGATAAGGCAAGTGTGGAAACTGAAATTGAAAATCAAGTATAAAAAACATGTATAGCTTGAAATCTTTTGAATTAATTGTTTCTACGATTAATTGCCAACGGGGTAATATTCTAAGTTCAAAACATGCTAGAAATTACATGTAACTTTAGTATTCTTTTTATTACTACTTGTTACTTCAATCTTCATCAACTTTATTATTTGCCAACTTAATTGTATCAAAAGACAACATTATTTCCACGATTATTTCAAGCGGGTAATTGAATAATGTCGATCACTAGTACTAGTGGTTAACATGTAACTTTAGTAAATCTCTTTTGTGCGAGTATAAGAACAAACAAAGAATATATCCTGATCTTATTGAAATATATTTAATCCGTTTATATCAGATGCGAACCGAATGTCAACTGTCTCAATTCTAATGAACAATGTAATATGATAATTTTCACATAAATATCTCACATACGAAAACTATTATTGCATTTAGTCACTAATATTTGCATTCCCATATTGCGGTCTGACAAAAACATGGACCCCCAGCTAGGCCTTAACATTGCAGTGTCTGATTGTCTTTGAAACCATTAAGGCATTAACTGCACAACTACAATGCTAAATATGTATGTAAACATTCATTTAGACTGCTTCTTTATGATATCAAGGGAACTAGAATTACTTCGTAAAAGTCAAATTAAGACATGATCTGCGTGCCATTATTCATGCAACCTCTTAAATGTACTCATTTAATTGCTTTGCCCACACGGCAGTTTGACATTGTTTATCTTCCATCTTTTGTTTCTATAAATAAATTGATGCATATAGTGTGTCATTTACAGTGTTTCATAAGAAAACATCACTAGTTTTTGAATTTTTACTTTCAGGAGTTTTTAAATGTTACTTTAAGTTAGGTCGAGGAGATATTTTGCAGAAGTTTTTAGCATGATGGCAGCACTTTCCTTGCGATAGTAACTTCTAGTATTATATGAGTGCCTTTGTAACTTTATTTTCAGGCGTTACGGAAATAGAATTAATTGATATAGGGCTGTCTGCAAAGCACACACCCATGGTTTCCTTTGATGGGAAACTTACACCTTATCAGGCCTAGTCATGGGGGGTTATCAGTATACCAATATAGTGTAATACTGGCTCAATATTACCCGTATATCCGTGCTTAATCTTCGGTTTATACCCATATTTCATTCTATTTAAACAATAAAGTAGTAAAATGCAGAGCCTGACTTACGTTTCTTGTGCGCATGCGCAATTTGGCTAGCGAAATTTCTTCTAGAGTTCTATCACATTCCAACATGCTTGCTAGGTTTCCCCATATGCCCCAACTCGACTAAAATTGCATCTCACATGCGTGACAAGTACGTCTTCAATTAATCAACCCCTTAGTACGAATGCTATTTGTTTGTATAAACTTTTAATATTGGCATATTTCATTAAATATTCCCACCTTGGGGTGTTTATAGTGATTGTTTGCTCAAATTAATCTGCATGTCGTAAATTGCTTTATCTAACCACATATGGTCGCCATTAAAATGACTTGCTTCCACTATTAATTTCCTGTTGAGCTTTGCAAGTTTACATACGAAGGCACATGGAAAATGTCTGCGTTACGGACAGGTTGAACAACTTCAGAAATGTCGTTTTTCGGAGCATTGACGTCTGTCAATGATCTACATTTGCCACTTCTCACTCACTACAATCACGGCTACAATATATTCCCAAGTGATTTTCCAGGCGGGAAACATATTCTTATAATGAAAATAAAAAGCCCAGGATAATACTTTAAATGGAGCCATACACACAAATATTATATAAACGTTTTTATTAGAAACGTTTCGTTTTAACTGAAGGCATCTTCAGAACTAACAGTAAAAACCTCTATAATGTCAAATCATGACAAGGATTATGAATAAAATCTAAGTTACCATGAGTGAAGGCTCGAGTGAAGGCGGGAATTAGAGTCGGAAAAGAAGGACGGAACTATACCTTGTTTGTTTAAGGAAGTTTAAATTTGCAATTTAAGAGACTTTCGTTTGAGTTGGCGCAGGAAGAAAGAATTTCGAAGTTTCGTGACTCACCAATGCAAGCTGTGTGACCAGTGATATTATAGTGAGGTGCGAAAGAATGCTTGTGAGTAGCAATCACACATGCAAACAAGCGTTATTAAAGGCGCAAATAATCATCTAGTCAGATTGGTATCAAGAATTCTCTAGACGAGATGGTCTTGATTGTGTTCTCAAATTCCATATCGACAGCACATCTCACTGGACATTGTGATGTTATCAGAAATTGGTAGCTTCAAATCAGCCTCGCTGATTCAAAGAATGCCGCATGGAAAACAATCGCACGCCACATGAGTTCCATTAGTTCCACACGACATATTTTTTTGGGTGGGCGAAGCTGCTCTCCTTCACTTTACCAGTCTTATAGAGTTAATTTTATAAATAATCTTTGTAAAATATGTTCTTCGTTCTCTTCATTTAATTATCGAGATATATTTACCTATATAATGGCGATATCATATATGCAAGACAAAGCAATTATGACCCTAGTTGCAAAATATAGTTATGATGTTCTGGCAATTTTTGAAACTCATTTAAAGTAGGCTATCATTATTAGTTTGTTTCTTATTAAAATACAATTATCAATGATACTTTAAAATTGACGCCATATTTACAGCCTGCATACTATATAAGCAAAACTTACTGAACTTCAGACATCATTTTCTGTTTGGCGTATCATCTAAAATCTCTTCATTTTAGCATTATTTTACAGATAAAGCACTAAACATACAAGTTTGTTTGCCGATTGAGAAACGTATCGAAAAACTAAAATTTTGAATTAGTCATAACCTCAAGTGGTATATTATACGCATTAGTTTTGAGCGCGTGTTACGTAAGTCGTAACATACAAAAAAAATCTCTCGAGAATGTATTCTTATTGTTCTTATGACTTATGTATGTATCTACTGGAAAAAAATAGTGAAATTCATACTACGGAATTTTCGATTACATCACTAAATCCATAGTATATCCATACTATTTCCATACTATATCCATAGATATAGTATGAAATTAGTAGATTCCATGAATACCGTAAATTTCCAGTCATACCGAAACTGCCAGTTTCGGTATGACTGCATGGATCCCGAAATTTATACATGGTATTCATGGCAAACTAATTTTAATTTGATTAAATATTCAAATTATGAAGTGAACCATATTATCATATAATAGCTGCGTATATGCATTCTTATATATTGTATGTCTTTTCTATGCTCAAGCCATAATGGTTTCCATACCCAGAAAATTAGACGACAATTAAGTGACGAAAATAGTGCTAAAAAGCACTCTGGTTAACAATTTCTGGCTACATTTCCTTTTAACCTTTTTCTTACTAGGACCAGTCCCGGTTAACCAGACATAGTTAGGTGGATAAAGAACTAGGCCCCATGGTTATCGAAAATGAGATGTCATTTCTAAATATCATAAATATATATATATGCAGGACAATAAATGTGTCGCCCGATAAAATGCTAGAACAGACCATATTATCATATAATAGCTGCGTATACAGCTATTTCAATTATGAATTTATTAGCGATTCCCAGCAGCCTTTCGCGCTCGTATTCGACTTTTCCGCTTTGCTTGGGGGACAACCTTAATTGAAATAGCTGTATGCATTCTTATATATATATATTGTATGTCTTTTCTATGCTCAAGCCATATGGTTTTCATACCCAGAAAATTGGACGACAATTAGTGACGAGCAGTTTAAGTCTAATAAAAAGCTCTCTGACTCTGGTTAACAATTTCTGGCTACATTTCCTTTTAACCTTTTTCGTACTAGGACCAGTCCCGGTTAACCAGACATAGTTAGGTGGATAAAGAACTAGGCCCCATGGTAATCGAAAATGAGATGTCATTTCTAAATATCATAAATATACATATGCAGGACAATAAGTGTATCGCCCGATAAAATGCTAGAACAACAGCAACTCTAAATCTAAAGTAAAGTGTTGACGTTTCTTGTTCATTAATTCGGTTTTCTTTCTCATTCCAGACGGCCATAAAAAGATCTGTATGAATAACCTGGATTGTGAGATGTACACGAACAATCAATGTTGTCCTACGATATCTGGTTACTTCAAATGTCGCAAGAGATGTCGACCCAAAAAGAGACTGGGCAAATTTCGTTCTGGGAAAAAAGGAAGTAAGTTCAGTAGTGAACATTTTGAACCCATTTTCGTTTCGTCTAATCTAGTAATTTGGTTTGGTTTAGTCTAGTTTCGTTCGGTTTGGTTTGATCCAGTTTAGTTTGGGTTTGATTTGGTTTGATCTAGTTTGGTTTGGTTTGATCTAGTTTAGTCAGTTGATTTGGTTTGATCTAGTTTAGTTTAGTTTGGTTTGATTTGGTTTGGTTTGATCCAGTTTAGTATGGGTATGGTTTGGTTTGATCTAGTTTGGTTTGGTTTGATTTGGTTTGGTCCGATTTAGTTTGTTTTGGTTTGGTTTAGTTTACACTTTAGTTAAATGCAAGACTGCATGTGATGATTTTCAGACTTCTTGTATATCATGGCCTCTTTTCTTTTCGCATGCAAGGATCAAGGAACAATAAACACAAGAAAAAGAAAACGTTCAGTTTCCTGACAGATGGTAAGAACTCAATAAAAATGATTATTGTATTGTCATATTGTATTGTATATGAAGTCCTTTCTGACAAACATAAATCTTTATTTGAAGGTTGTACCGTTGGTCATAATAAAGTTTACAAGGAAGGTGAAGTCGTTCAAGCAAAGGACGGCTGTAATGACTGGTAAGGCCTTTATGCCGGATGCTCCTTTTCTCTATGGTTTCGGTAGCAGTTCAGTTTTGAGGCTACGATAGCGCAGTCAGTGCCGCAGAGAGGTTGGCGGGGGTCCGGGGCAAAATTTTTTTGGGGGGGCCCCTTTTTGAAAAAAAATTTTCCGGAAAAATTTTTTCTGGACAACAACCTCCCCAGGGGCACCGGGGCCCCAGCACCTCTCACGGGGCCAGGGCAGTGCCCCCTCTCGGCGGCTCTGAGCGTAGTCGTCAGAGCAAGCGTCTTTCACCTCTCAGATCGTGGGTTCAAATAGACCTTTCCCTTTTAAGTGAAATTTTGATCTAGACAAGTCTGGACAAAAATTTCATCACAGCTTGAAAGAGCATCACAAAATTAGTAATATTCGAAAGTTTCGTTGCGAAATGTTGTAAAATGCGGATAATATAGCCTTGCGAAGTTTGCCGTTTTTCAGTCATTTTGATTACAAATGGGAAATTGATAATCAGATGATCAAACTGATTATCAATTTCCCGTTTGTAATGCAAAATGACTGAAAAACGGCAAACTTCGCAAGGCTATATTGGCCGCATTTTACAACATTTCGCAACGAAACTTCGGAATATTACTAATTTTGTGATACTCTTTCAAGCTGTAATTTTGTGATACTCTTTCAAGCTTGTCCATGCAGGCTAGTCTAGATCAAAATTTCACTTAAAAGGGTTTATTAGCCTTTCTCACACCGCCATTTTTGGGTGGCATTTCAGCAGAAGTCTGCGAGATAAGTCCACATAACAGCGACTTTTTATAATTTTTTTTGACAAATGATGGTAAATTTGCTTTGTAAATGGTTAGTTTATTTTGAAAAATTGCTTTTCACATTGTTTTAATTGTCTGAATTGGATGCCACCAAAAGATGGCGGATATTCGTCATCGTGAGAAAGGCTAATTCTCGCTGCGGACTCATAAAACGTATGTGAAAAAAGAGTCAGTCGACGCTCTACCGAAATTCGTGGGTTTCCCCCGGTACTCCGGTTTCCTCCCACAGGGACTCGAATGTTGACAAGGGGGTTGGGGTAAGCCCCAAACTGACCCTTCCGCTGCAGGTGGCTGCCGGGGACGCCCTTAGAAAGCCTGCATGCGACTTCATCAGATCGATTGAGCTGCGTCCTTCTTCCTCTGAAGAATAGACCCATTGCACATGACGTCACAGCGCCAGTGGCGATGCATCTGGAGGACAAATTAATTAGCAATATTCTATGCATAATATAAACAAAGCAAAATTATAAAAAATTTGTATTAAAATGGTTAATTTTTGCGCTGTATGTGGTTGTTGTACCCGAATAGATATTGTTAGGGAGCATCTGGATGACACTTTAAGAATTCGTGGCGTCTGTGCAATGGGTCTATACGGGATTACTGTGCTCATATCAGGCAGAGAGCTTGAACAGTCTATGCCAGTGTAGGCAGTGCCAACAATAGTGTAAGAAAGTTTCGGATGGACAGGGATGCAACTGCCTGAAAAAATACAAGGAGAAGTTCGACGTTTCGAGCGAAGGCCCTACTAATTTCCCGACGAAGCGCCTTCGCTCGAAACGTCAAAGTTCTCCTTGTATTTTTCAGGTAGTTGTATCCCTGTCAATCCGAAGCTTTTTTAGAGAGAAAAGTTGACTAAAGTCGCTCCACATTTCTTGCACGCTGAACTTGTTCTGTTCAAGTTGTTTACCAAATGTTTCATTTGTTCCATTTTACCAGCAAATGTCAGAAAGGAAAAATGATCTGTACAAAAAGACATTGTCCTCCTGGTAAGCGTCCTTAATCTCCGATCATACATAGGAATATCATACATTGGAACATGTGAAGTGCTGTGATTGTCCGGAATTTCTAAAACTAAGAACATTTTTTTATTTAGGAAAATGTGCTTATAAAAATGCGTTATATAACGATGGATATCGTTTAGTGTTACATAATGGATGCAAAAGATGGTATGTGTATACTTCGGATTCTTTGCAGTGGGGAACACAGTTACTTCACTAACATGTGACTCTCTGTTGAAAGCGCATATAAGTGATGGACATTTTTCTTTCTTTACTTACAGCATATGTCAATATACATCGTGGAATTGTACAAGTCATCCTTGTGTAGAAGGTATAATTTAATTCAACGTATACTCAAAAATCAAGTCCTTATAACAGCAAGATCAGGGATGGACTATTAGATATCTTGGGAGGGAGGAAGGGAGATTTTCCTTGCAAGAAGTTCGGAGCTTTGTCGAACATTTTTCACGTACGGTGTAGAAGCTGTGCAGAAATTTTTTCTATATGTTTCTGCATTTTCTCGAATAGTATTTCCATATATTTCCGAATAGTTCCAGTAAAATATGGATTTAAATGAGAATCCAGATTTAAATAGGTTTTGGGAGAGGATGCCCCCAGACCCTGCCCCTAGAAAGCTCGCACATTCGCCGCTCATTCGATAAAATCTCCAGCCAGCATGTCACTGAAACTTAGCGCATCTGCACTGTTAACGAAAATCGATATATCACCTAAGTTATGCATTTAGCTCACTGGGTTGATCCCATGCCAACTTCAACCTAGGCTAGTTCAACCCAGTGGTCCAACCCTACACTTTCACGAACTGACGGTAATATATCCTTGTCTTCTTAGAAGTTGTCAAACAACCAACGTCTACGGCGTCAATCCTCCAATCCGCCTTGCTCGCTCTTATATGTTCAGTGATGCATTTCCTGTTGCTCACATGACGTATTGAGGAATGATTATAATTTGTACAGAATGAATTCGACGTAACAAAGTTGCGATATATTCGGACACCTGCAGCCTCGTGCTCAGACCCTTGGAATGCTTCACAACGTGGATACTGTGGCTGGGAACACTTAATGGGAAGACGTTATTTCATTGACCTCAGGAATGACATTTCGTCAAAACTGTTTTCTTCAAGATTGGTTTAGAAATAAACTTGGAGTAGGGTTAGGTTAAGGTTAGGGTTGGGATCAGGGTTAGAGTTGGTGTTTGGAATAGGGTTAGTCTTAGCAAAACCGTTGCTTTGTTACGATTTGTCACTCTGAGGCCAGCGAAATAATCTCTTCCCGCTTAATGAGTCATCATTGGCCTTTTTTCCACCATAATCTATCAAGATATCAAGATATGATGGGCTGGAAACTAAACAGAAGTCATTGTATCATGTTTTTGACCGAGTTTATGTTAATTTGCGCACGGTCCAATAGGGATAGCTGAGCGAGCGGATTAGACGTGCAACCACAATGTTTAATGAAGTTGATACAAAGGATTTGTGCCTGTCAAGGTACAGTCCAATAAAACAAAAGGTCTTCTATTTTGTGGCTTTGGAGTTTGTCGGGCTTCCAGACCGTCGTATCGTGACAGACTATGTCTCCACGCTCCCTACTCCCTTCGCACAGACACAAGCAAGGCAAAGTCCTGTGGGCGAGGCTGAATATTGAATGTAGTGCCAGTAGTGGGGTAAATTCAGTATCCCGCAAATCTCAGAGCTTTCTTTAGTCACAATTCATACGTTGCACTTTCGTTACTTTCAGATAAATATAATAAAATGTGTAAAAAATGCAACGGTAGTGTGTCGTATGAAAAGAATTCTGATTTTTATGAACAAATTTGTCTAAGATGCATTTTCTGTCGTACCTAAGACCTATTTTCAAAATTGGGTACAGATAATAATTATGATTGTTTGCTTGCTTTGTGGATTCAACTAAATCGTATTCGATTTAATAACTACAGACTATAGTTAAAAACTCCGCATATGACCTGATAAGAACCAAAAGTTTATGAGCAATTTAGCACCAAAATACATCGGCGAGTTTTTTCAAATATTGAAAAGGGGGGTATTGCTATTGTGATGTCTGTCCCAAATCACTCTCTTGCCTAACTTTGAAACTAATGAATTTATGTATAACAAAAAGAAATTGATAATATTATCTTGTAAATAGAACTTTTTATTGTAACATACAAACTGCAGTGATTGGGCTAGCCCGTTCTAGGGTAATCTGTGAAATTTAAATTATAAAAAATAGATTTAGTGAAATCACGGCGTGTAATAAAAATAAAGAAATGAAAGAAAATGAGGTTTTTTGAAATATTTGTCGTGATCTTATTTTGTGTTTCTATTTTTGCTTTGCTTTTATGTATGCGCAAAATTCAGTGCTAGCGTTGGTGGTGACAAAAACATCAGAAAACAGGGACCGCGGAGCCTGTTTAAAAGTGTGTGTGGGGGCAGGATAGCACGGGAGCTATTCCACGCAAGCAGGCTGGATTTTATCCGGTAATTTTTTATTATCCACCGAAAAAGTGGGGGGCATGGCCGCCCCGCCCCCTGTTCCGCGGTCCCTGGATTGATAATTTGATAGGGTTTCAAGCACCTGAAAAATACATTTAAATCTTCTACGTTTCAAGCGCCTGAAGGCCCGCCCGACGACGGGACTCTTCGCTCTACCTGTATTTTTCACATATAACTTCACTCAATTCCCGAATAAAAAAATATTGAAGATGGCGGATGTGCCGGACCTGATTGTCTTGAAATTGCAGAGGATGGCTTATTACGCCACAAAGGCAACAATGTTTGGAACGGTCTGTGGCAGTGCAGGTAGCCAAATCAGGGACGCAACTACCTTCAAAATACAAGAAGAAATTTGACGTTTCGAACGAAGGCCAAACGTCGGATTTCTCCTTGTTTCCTTGTATTTTTCAGGTGAGGTAGTTGCATCCCTACTAACGAAAGTTTTGTTAACAATGTTTAGAACCTTGACCTCAACTGATTCAGATTATAATGCTGTAGTTACCCCCTACATCCCGCAATTTCTTTAAATCCGAAATCACGCCATTTTTCTTCCTGGCTCTGGCCCCCAAAACCTATTTACCCGTTTCTTCACAGATTGGGTCACTATGTATGGGATTTGCACCAGTAGTTTTGGTGGATTGGCATTTGGCAAATCAGTTTGTCCCGGAAACTCTCCCTACCCTGTCAGTACCATGATAGATTGATAGATGATGCCTGAGATTAGAGAAGCTGCCCTAGTGTGCCTATTGTTCTCCAACTAAGCATGAGAACACGCCTTTTAACAATACTTTATTTTCTAAAATTTAAAATTTACATATAAAGCAATATGTAAAAGATAATGTAGAAATAAAATTTTTTGAAAGGTACAAATTCATCAAATCCTTGCCATATATAAATTTTGAGCAATTTTCTTGTGAGCTGCAGAGGCATCTCAAATTTATTCATCTGCCCGTGATGCATTGTGGGACAGCTTGGGTCAAAATGCCGTCTACGTCGAGCGAAATGTCTGAGGTATTTATAAATTTTTGTCTTAAAACTGCACCAATTTTGAACAAAAATTAAATATATACTTAGACAGTGTTTCCATACATTATTTTTTGCTTAGATTACCGTGATGGAAGGCCACAGAATGCCTGTAAGAATGAATAGTACGGACGAGTGGCGTAAGTAGTTGGCGGCCATGTTTGTTGATATTTTGGCTTGTATTAATTTCATCGTTGGTTATGTTTTATTGGGGGGAAATGTACCATAAAGTTAAAGTATATCTTTTGTTTTCTTTAGCACTGGCCGAAATTATCAGCATTCGTGAGATAGACGGCAGAAAAGAATATTATGTTCACTTTATTGATTGTAAGTGATCAAAATAGCATTTCTCAACACTTACGTTGGGTTATTTTTCAAAATAATTAACATAAATTTTGCTAGGGTTTTTTCACGGCTTTTTATAAGGGACGACCATTGAAATGAATATAACTGGAATGCTACCTTTAGATAAACTGCCTATCTTTTTCTTGAAGCCAAATTTTTTACCCCCAGACAGGGGGTGCATGTTTGTATCATGATTGACTGATTGAGCGCTCTTCACATGCGTGAAAAGACTGGGACTGGCCTTTCAAGTTTGGCTTTAGCGTTCCAGTTCTATTCATTTCAATGGGGATAACGCATTGATTTTACAATTGGGGAGGGGAGAGGACGATAGAGTTCAGATGAAGTTAGTTTGTGGGATCTGGGTGCATTCCCCATAGTCCTGGAAACCACCAACATAAACCTCTGGCAGGAATGGAACCTGAGGCCCTGTGATTTCGGTGTAGTGCTCTAACCAACTGAGCTATAGAGGCCAGTTGTCAAGCTATAATTGGAAGTTCATGTATATATATATATATATATATTTTTGGGTGTGCGGGTTGTGGTGAACTTGACAGATATTAATTGTGTCCTGACCATTAGTTAACAAAAGACTTGACACATGGGTGAGTGAAAAATCTCTGGACAAGGAGAAATTACAAATTCCCAAGAAAGACGAGAATAAAGCAAAGAGTAAATTCAACAAAGGCTTGGCAGGTTCAAAGCCTGCATCACCTGAACGAGAAGGGACTGGGACAAAGAAAGCTCTGGTGAATCGAAAGAGGAAGGCTAATGCAATGTCTTCAGGTCCTGAAGATCAGGTAGGTTGTACATCTTGGTGATTCTTAAATATCTGTGGGATGAGTTTTAAGCCCTCTGAATGTTATGACGTCTTACATCATGTTTGAACCATGGCTTTCCTTAATACAAGTATTCAGGCCATATGCAGGAGTTTTTCACCAGGGGGACAACAAAACATTTATGCTGAAATAAGTACCCAGATGCAGGGTTTCTAATAGGGCATAAAAAAATACCTGTGGTTCTGCCAACCCTATTATTTTTTCAACACGATTGACCATGCGACCCTGTTTTCTCCGAGTGGTTGCATGCTGCTGCTGAAATGGCATCTGTTGTCACACTAATTATTGAAAAAACCCATGAAACCGACCCTAATTTTTTCGCGATATGAAACCGGAAACACAGATATTTTTAGTGCCAGAAACCCTGTGTGTCCACGGTACTACACACCAGAGGTGAATATTAGTAATATTAGAAATTAGTAATATTCCAAAGTGTCGTTGTGAAATGTTGTAAAATGCGGATAACATAGCCTTACAAAGTTTGCCGTTTTTCAGTCATTTTGTATTACAAATGGGAAATTGACAGTCCCAAGGGGTATTGGGCTGTCAATTTCCCCCAAGTGATGCAAAATGACTGAAAAACAGCAAACTTTGCAAGGCTATATTATCCGCATTTTACAACATTTCGCAACGAAACTTTGGAATATTACTAATTTTGTGATGCTCGTTCAAGCTGTGATGAAATTTTTGTCTCTAGTAGACATGTTTAGATCACAATTTAGTCTATAATGCAAATGGTCCATTAATCAGTCCTACTTATGTTTCATATTAAGGTGGATGGTGATGATAGTCCAAACAGTGTAAATGACAAAATGAGCAGTTTAAGATCTGGAGGCAGCATGGTTCACGATCGCAGTCATGATGATGTTGTCACACGCATGAAGAACATTAAAATGGTTCAACTGGGGAAACATCTTATTCAACCATGGTACTTCTCACCATACCCTGAAGAGCTTACCAAAATACCGATTGTTTATCTTTGCGAGTTCTGTCTCAAGTTCACCAAGAGTCTTCATTGCTTGAAAAGACACAGGGTAAATATTTGCCATACGGTACTTTGTTTCATAGCAGGAAATAACGGTCGATCCGGGCATCTGGGATCCTAGAAAATTTTCAGACCTGGCTTAGCTGGTAGAAAATTTTAGAGCATTGCATAGTGCTAATACGCACAGAAAATAATTTATCAGGATGAATATTAGTGAGCTTGGCAGAAAACCTGCTATACTATGTTTGAAAATACCATAGTTCAAATTCAGTATTACTAGACAGTATTGATCTTCTCCTAACATTGTAAAGGTCACCTTGAAGGCCCATCTACACAATGTGATTTTTGGTTACTATTGTTGTATGCAACTTGCTGACGCCATCCCTGCAACACGTGCCGTGTAGACGCCCCACAACTTGATTACAACAGTCGTATGGCATGCAACACAAAAAAGTCATAAAAATTTTAAAACTTGTTTCGACTTTCATACATTTTTGATAAAAAAATAGTTCAAAATGGCGGATTCAACAGTGAGATGCGAGAAAGCGAAATTGGTACGCCTTCTGTTCAAAGTGTGAACAAGTCAAAGTAAAAAAAAAGAAGAAAGAGGGTTACGTTTTTGAGAATGAAAAGGTTGAGTTTTTGATATATGCATGGAGTATTGGAAAAGTTGCATACAATAATCGTTCCATCTAGATAGACACCACAAAGTCGCAGGGATGGCGTCAGCAAGTTCCATACAACAATCGTAAGCAAAAATCGCATCATAGATGGGCCTTCAGTAATCTTAAAATTACCATGTGAAGTGTACCAATAGTGAAAAGACACAGGGAGAATTTTCTCTCCTATTTCATAATTCTTATTGTGTGGTTCAAATTCAGTATTAAAAGTGTTAACCTTATCAATCATGGTACTTTTCACCCTACCTTGAAGAGCTTACCAAAGTACCTGTAGTATTGATTTTATCCATCCATCAGGGTTCGTAGCAGTCTTTGAAATCCTTGAAAGTCTTTAAATTGGAATGCTGGTCTTTGAGGTCTTTGAAAAGTTTTTAAATTGTGTCAAAAAGCGAATAAAGTCTTTAAAAGTCTTTAAATTATTTAGTGAGGAATTGATTATACGATTTTCTTGCTAATAAAATAGATTGATTGAATCAAGATTTTCGCAAATATCGACGGAAATGCGCATTTTAGGATGTGATTTGACGGGACTAATTGCACGGGTAAAAATGGTGCTTACACTCGCAATTTTTTGACAGCTGATCTCTCAAAGGTATTTGAAAAGTCTTTGAAAATAGGCAGAAAAAATCTTTGAAAGTCTTTGAATTTGTTTGGTCTTGGAGACTACAAACCCTGTCCATGCTGATCATTAGTGGTATCTTGCATGCACTTGGTTGTAATCCATTCAAAAGTTTTTTATAGAAAAAGTGTAATACAAGGGTACAGAGAATTGTCTTTGGTATAGCAATACTGTTAAAATGTTGTTCTCACCTTAGACGAAATGCACTCTACGACATCCTCCGGGGAATGAGATTTATAGAAAACAATCTATTTCCTTCTTTGAAATTGATGGCAGGAAAAATAAGGTATGTTGTTTAAAGTGCAATACAATGGTAGTGTGATGGAAAGTGACTGGAACTCATAGTATAAAGTTACTAAGTATATAGTTATACTGACTCTTAACACATGCAATGCTTTAAAACTTCTGTGAGTTCCATCTGACATATAATCCGTCTGACCGAAAGGGTCGAGTATAATTTGTATTATTAGGTAATAGTATGGTTTCGACTTTCGAGTGCAATTTGGGAAAAATATGCACAAGTGAGTTTTTCAAAGACTATCAAAATTGCACGAGTCCGAATGACGAGTTCAATTGGAAGTCTTTGAAAAATTTACAAGTGTATGTTTTTTTTTCAAATTGCACGAGAAACCATGGTATTACTTATTAATAATATACATGAACATTGAACAAATTATGCAGTCAGCAGTCACGTTTAGAAATTAAGAAGAGTATAAACCCTAAAAATATATTGAAATTTCGCGAATTTTAGCCAAGAAAGGTTTGCTAAGCATCACTTAAAAACGTAATGAAATGTTAACATTTTAACATTTCATTACGTTTTTAAGGTTACAGGACACCCTTTTTGGCGTTTTGTGGAAAATCGCTACTACGCGCTCAAAATCAGTCCGATTTTCATCAAATTTTCACCAAATGTTAGCCAGTGCATGCAAAATATGATAAAGTTGTAAAATTGACAAACAATAAAATAATGTAAGAATTATTTAGGAAAATATTAAGTCGCGGTACCTTTACGCTTTTGAGTTATGTTCCTGCTAGTTTTAAGATATATTTATGAAAATATCATTTTTATACAGTAAAATAGTTGTTCTAAGAAAAGGTGTTCGGAAATTTTTGTTTATTTCGTCATTCCGCTGATATGGCGATTTCTTTGACGACTGCAATATATTTCTGAATCGTTTGTGTGAATTGATCCTTAATATTAAAATATCCAAAATTAGAACAAAGCCGAACACAATTTTGAAACTGACGTCTTTAGGTATGTCCTGTGAAAATTTGAGAAAAATTCGTTAAAACCCGCAGGAGCACAACTCGTTTAAAAATCAGTAATTGCCGTAAAATTCTTCGCGAGAAAATTGAATTTGAATATTACATTTTCAATGTTTTCTTATTGCACGCGAAATGTATTTTATTAAATAACTTTGCGAGTTTTCAACATTTTTCGTCCAAACTTTGTCAGACAGTAGAACTAGTCTAATGCTTTCATGGAAACCAAGAAAAAAATTTTAGGCAAAATTAACACTCAAAGGTGTTCTGTAACCTTAAGTGAAACCCTAAAAAAATACTGGGTATAAACCCTAAAAAAATACTGCAAACATTGACGCTGAAAAAATACATGAAAATTAAACTAGGCCGTGGTTATTAAGGCGTTGAGAAGTCATGCTGTGCAAACCACTCATTTAATACGCACATTTGCAGAGGCATCGCACAAATTAATATTCAATGTGCGCATATTACTAAATTACTGACTTCAAAAAAGTCGAAATATCACATTGTATTTTTTTATCTTGTATTTGAACAACTTATATATTTTACCAGTAATAACGGTTTATTTGTTCATTCAAAACCCATTTGCAGGCTAAAACCCATAGAGAGGCCTGCGGAGGAGGCCAATTTGTTCATATTCTGGGCATATATATTGAAATTGTTAGCAAGCATGGTGAAGAAAATACCAAACTGTATTTTGGTTGCCAAGGTCAATAAGAGACAGTTGTTATGGACAATACTTTGTCTAATCACTTAGGTTTTAATAATTTTAGGATAGGTTTTAATTTTGTTTTTGCAGCTGCATCTTTTCTTCAGTTACACTTAATTTAAAGGAACGGGCTGCATTATGTGTTCGAGTTAAATTATAGTGTACTGCACGTTAGTACAGTATGTGATATAGTTTAAAGGAATCACGGTGGTATATCACTGCCACTGGTTTGTTTTAGCTTCTCAGTAAATTTTGAAGAAAGAAAACGTCAAGTATGACGCGGTTTACATTATGTGATGTAGGCGATTACTGTGTTCATGTCTTATATTTTCCTACTGGCATAAAAGCAATTTCATTACAAGCTGCTCTGGCGATAGCAAATATCGTTATATCTCTCTTTGGAACACTGGCCAACGGTCTCGTCATAATGGCTTACTATCGTAACCCTCGTTTACGAACAATTCAGAACACGATCTTCTTGCTGCTTGCCATCACAGACATTGGTGCAACTGCTTTTGCACAACCGATATTTGCAGTGGCCATCTTGAGTAGTTTGCTTGGGAACCATAGTTGCATTTTATGGGGACTTCAAACCATATTATCGTTCTTGTTCTTGGAACTATCACTGGTAACAATTGTTGTTCTCAGCCTGCAAAGTTATATAACCTTGGCTTATCCGTATCGTTGGCAAAGTATAATTACAAAGTCTCGTTTGAATTTAGGGTTTATCCTTTCTTGGCTTCTCATTTTGCTAAAAACCCTTGCTATTTTTCAACACTACGACTTTGTTGCATACGGAGGGCTTGGTATATTGTGCTTAGCAATCATCACTGTGGTTTTTACCTGGTATTGGACATATAAACTTGTTGCTCGACATCGAAAGGCAATTCAAACCACTCAAACTCCTGCAAGCAGTCAAAATGTGGCACAAAAGAAGATCTTACGATCAACAGTAACCGCCTTTGCCATTATATCAAGTCTTCTGGCATGTTACTTTTTGATCCTGTGCTTTAATATCTTCCCATATTTTCTAAATGCTTCGAGACTTGGTGTTAATACGATCAGCATTTTATGGTCATTGGCAGTGACATTAACGTACCTAAACTCTCTGTTGAATCCCTGCCTTGTTTTTTGGCGAAGTACTTGTTTCAGAGAAGCCGTACAGAATATTTTCAATTAGAAAAAATATAAAAGAAACATTATAAATTGCTCTATATGTGTATATTTTTAAATAATTTTTCTTCTTCTTGCAGAAACGATGTAAAACCTTATGATATATTCAGTACTATATAAATATACATTTTTTATTCCTAAATAGTCTTCTATCTGCATTCTGAGTTTAATTTTCTTATTGAGTGTGAATTTAAAGTTCTTTATAAATAG